CTCTGTTAGAACACTTACAGTTACGTAAATTTCTGTAGCTGCTTGGTTTTAGTATCCCAAACCAGTAAATTATCTTTTGGTCTCATCTTTTTGCTGATGAGAATGCACTCTGTCTTTTAGTTTGTGCTTAGTCCCTTCTTCACACTCTCCATCGCTATCTTTTGTGGGAGATTTTTGTCATTTCTTTTCCGTGTCTGTTATCAGTATTGTGTCATCTGCATATCTTATGTTGTTAAGAGTGTAGACGCCAGTGCTAAATCCCGGTAAGGATTCCAATTCTCTCAGAATTGCCTCCTGTTTAGGTTCAACGGGTCGGGTCTACTCAATTGTAATGTTCAAGTAGATTAATTTCGCGTGTGTGCTCGCATTAACAAAGTTAGTACATTTGAATTTATTATATTTTTAACCTACCAAGTGTCATGGACTGGTTCCTTGTACCACGGTGATAGTCCAAGGTAGAACCAATAAAGAAGAACTCGAACACCGGTATGGAATAACACAGATATATTACAAACAGGAACATACACAGAGAAGTAGAAGTATTAGTATGAACAATCAGGTTTAGTAGAGAGAATAATGTAGTCTCGACCAGTATCACTATTCCAATGTCTTGCAGTAATTGTCTGAACGCGACTCTGTTTCGGAGTGCCTCTGACTCGACTCGAACTACTGACTCCTGACTCCTTGCCTACTCCTGAGGCGCAGTATTTACTAAGTATGGAATAGTCCATTATTATTATTATGGGTAAGATCCCATAATACCAAGAATGACACATACCAAGTCAGATTTAAAAATATATATATATAATCTTCAGATAAACCATTTTTTATAAGTGAGTATATAAGTTGAATATTGGGAAATTTTCTATTATCACAGTATGGGATATTTAATATCTAAAGTTATAAAACATAAAAAGAAGGAACTAAATAAAATTAGCTGGACTATATACCCAAAACATATATTTTAAAAAGATTAAAATTATTATCATAAATGTTGGATACTTAATGGTGGGGGTGATAGGGACATAAACAAAATGAAAAATAAATAAGTGAAATTGACAGGACTATATACCAAAACATATCTAAATAAAAATTAAAATTTTTAAAAAAATTAAAATTTTAAATTTAAAAAAAAAAATTTTAATTTTAAAATTTCAGCGTCCCTTCTCCTTCATGCGCATATGTAGTCACATCAACGTAAATATCATTTTATTCCTATAAGCTTCTAAAGATCGAAATGCGTCTTACGAAAACTTTTTCCCCATTTTGTCATATTTAGGTTTCCTATATTAATAATACATGCAAAAATCACGACCGTGATATATATATATATATATATATATATATATATATATATATATATAGTAATTAGTAGGAGTATCGAACCCTGACAGATACTCGGTAGTAGATGCGCACTGCTGATGAGTCCCAAATATAGGACGAAACGGCCGTCCAGTGCTTCCTGCATTCTGTAGAGGTTTCTATCAGACTCGATGAATTAATTAAATATCATTATCAAATCCTCCTCCTAATTACTATCTGTGTTTATCTTCGCTTGAACCGGCTTCTAATGCTCCATTTGATAGCGGCTTGGTGAGAGTAGTCGTGGCTCCCGGGGGCACAGTCCTATAGTTACAGAGAACTCAGTTGAGTTCCGCCACGGAATATGTGAGCGAGCGGCGCTTAGTTGAGTCTGATTTGGAATCTCTTCGTCACCGAGGCCCATTTGGAACGGTGTTGGTATGGTGTTCGCTTGACAACCCAACTGTCAGGGTTCGATACTCGGTAGTGGATGCGCACTGATGAGTCCCAAATATAGGACGAAACGGCCGTCCAGTGCTTCCTGCATTCTGTAGAGGTTTTCTATCAGACTCGATGATTAATTAAATATCAATATATATATATATATATATATATATATATATATATATATATATATATATATATATATATATATATATATAGTTAAATTCTGGGAGGAAAGATAGGTGGGCAATAAGACGGGTGCATTTATCTATAAATTTCGATTTAGAGAATCAGTTTCCATCGCAGAAAATAAACTCGGGAGAATTCGTATTTCAACCTGAATTGCTTTCATTCAATGCGCATTAATGGCGTTACGAAATCATGTCAAGCCATTCCCACCTGTAACAGTTTCCAAACTCAAATGATTTCTTTAATCATGGTGCTTTTTTTCTGGCTGATACATCCTCCGCTACTAGAAGATGGCATATTTTTATCGAGACACCAGCTATAGTTAAATTGCAACTCAAGGTTAAAGAGCTTCTACCTGTCCATTTGATGAGGACTTATGACGACGTACATCGACCGCTTCTGAACAGTTTCATTCGCCCAATTTCATTCACAAGGCTTGGGTCAGCCCGTGTTATGTTTTTCCGTGCCACGCACTTAAATCGTCTCCCCAGGACAACATTATTATAAAAAGGTTGCTTCTTGACTAATCGACCACTAATTCGAACCAAAGTCTCACGGTGGAAAC